TAGAAATCCCCACTTAATATGGTATTTCATATAAATTTCCCCCCTCTTCCCATCCCCACCTCAATGGTTGCCCCCCCCCATGGGCCCATCCATATTTATCCCCCCAGCAATCCACTTCAGGTTTTGGCCCCCATATAAAAATTTCCTGGCTCCACCCCAATCTAGAAACCTAGAAGAGTAACAGCCAGCAAGAAACCTACATGCATCAACAAATAAAGCATTCATGCAATCACTGGGAGAAGATAATAAAATTCAAACAGAAAAGGGAAGTGGGACTGAGTGTAAGTTTCATACATCATTCAGGTTACCCATATTGAGTTGCTGAAATTTTGTACAGAAACTGGTTCTAGATCAAATGAGGTGGAGCACAAAGAGATTCCTGCACTTACAATTAAACGAAGGTGTAATATGCCTTGTGCACAGTAAGCATTGATGGAAAATAAAATAAGGTCATTAAGAAATCCAAGTGAGTATAGTTTTACATGAGTATTAGGCTATGAAAGAAAATATTAAAATATAGAAAAAGCTCTTCAAGAAGGCATAGTAAAATGATTACTAAATCTTTCAATAATCCCAGTATATAAGATCATGGCATGTTCTACCAAAGCAGCACGATTGCATCTTCAAAAATCTTGTTGTTTCCACCGGCTTTATTTTTAAGTAATGGAAATTTAGTTCCAGGTGAAATGGCTAATGCTTTTCTCGAATAAACGTAGAGATTGTTTGACCCAGGTGTGTGCTCATAAAGCCAATAGGATTAACCAATTAACGAGGTTGGAACAGACACAATACTTGGTTTTGTTATCAAAACTGTTGCAGGTAGAAATTCTCTCCATTCTTCCCGTACCCTGTATCATTATGTTAAATTCCATTGCAGTTGCACAGTGAAGCACTGTTTGAAACGTTACCTAATTCAATATGTAACCATAATTTCCCATTTGAAAAGTTACCTGATCCATTATCATCCATGAGAGAAACAGAGTACACAGTTAAACAGTCATATAGCATACAAATCAGAGATGCATATATTGAAAGAAATGCAACAAGTGTGCAAATGGGAAATTAAAGGTTCAAGCTAGAAGAACACACCCCCTAGCAAATTTCAGCTCAAGTTGGGAAACGAGATATGCGAGGAAGTTGCTAGGGTTGTTTGAGGCAGAAGCGTAGGGAGCCAACCCTTCCCCTACGTCTCCGCCTATAAAAGGAACGAAAAGCTAAAAATTCGAAGGCGACCACCAAAGGGAATCACTCCATTTCACCCATCAAAATTCAAAAAATGAAAAGGAGATTAAATAAAGAAGAAGTCGGAATATGGTGATTCCTCCAACTATGTCCGTTCCACAATCTCCCTTTTTCTGTACGTTGCTGTGCGATAAAAAGAAATTGAATGACACCACCACAAATACGAAACACAAAGGACCACCAAATCAATTAAGAATGTTCTTCTAGCACTGCGAGTGGAAAGAAAGGCGAAGAATTAAAAAGGAAGGGATGGAAGGGAATCAGCTTTTCTTCAATCTTTTCCTCTAAGCAACAGGGATCTCGTTTAACCACCCCACCTGCTAGGTTCTCACTTACACTTTCGGCTTTATAGACATACACTATGATAAATGAGAATCAAAATAACGATTGTTCTCTCTCGACTTCAGATTTTCCTATTCTGAATTCTGATGAATTGCCAATAACTTTTTGTCACATCACAACTTACGTCAAGGCTCAAGGGAGGTGTCTCCCTCAAGTCTCATCTCACCTTCCATGCAGCCGGGTTCACACGAATTACAGATTGTACAGTTTCGACGGTCCAAGTGCATCGTTTAAATCCTAGAGGGGGAGGGAGCAGACTGTGTATCGGACAGTGAACCATCCATTACCCGAGCCCCATGTAACTCATAAATGTCCAATTCTGTATGTAGCTGCTACGTTGGTGAAGAACAAAATACTTGCAAACAGAACAGATGTGAATCTGTATGGAAAAATCCAATAAAGGATTCCATTCCAATTTCCATGTGCATTGAACTGGATGGTGGTCATACGATCGGGCCCTTTTTTTAATTTTTTTGACGATAAAGAACCTTCAAACCTGCCATCGAAGTGGCTTTCTGTTTCGATGCGTTTGGATTTGGTTTATAAAACTTTGTTTATTTGTTTTTTTTTTTTTAATCTCTTTTTCAGTCGAGTTTGTGTTCTGTTGTTCATCTCTCACTGTTCAGACTAGTGTTGTTCTCGGTTATTTTGGCTGTTTATTATGCTGTTTTTTCTGAGCATTTCTCAATAAGTTTGCCTGCCATCTTGCTAGTTGCTAAAAAGAAGAAAAAAAAAACAATGGAGCGATTTACTGCAGTAGTTGGTCGACCCAATTTTCACTTATGACTTATGTTACTTTTTTTTTTTTTTTGCCAACGGATGAAGCCCATCCTTCGTCCCTTTAACCCCCCCCCCAATCCTGGCAAGCAATTTAGGCCCCGTTTGGTTCGCGGGAATAGGGGTCTGGAATCAGAATTCAAATGGGTTATTTTGATTTCATGTTTGGTTGAACGGAATTGGAATTCCATTCCCATTCCTGCTGGAATGACATTCCCCCATTTGAGGGAATGGTCGTTTTCCTATCCCTTCCTTGGGAATTAAATCCCATTCCTGCTGATTTTAATTCACATTCTCATTCTTGTCTGAATCAAATAGATTATGGGAATGGACCATTCCGATTCCAATTCTGATTTTAACTGTGAACCAAATAGACCTTTAATCTACAATGAATCAAATATCTTGTTAATTGAGCGATCGTTGGTTGGTGACTTAATGTTATTATTTCAAAACAAGGTTTTTAGAACTGAACCGGACAACGAACCGTTCAGGGTCTGGTTCGCAGGTCGAATGGTCCAATCATTTGAACCGAATGGACGGCCCATTATGACAAAAAAAATGGCAAAAAACTGTTATCCGGGTCGATGGTTCAACCGCTTAGGTCAGCGGTCCGCTGATCAAATCAATGGTTTTTGGCCAAAAGATGGTTATGGGGTGAAATGGAACTGATCAGGTGACCGGTTCCTAGTTTTTTCGGTCTGATTTTCAAAACATTGGTTTCAAAATATATTATTTTCAAACACAACAAAAATAAAAAAGTATAGTAAATATAAAATAAAAGATATTGATTTATATATCATGTGTTTATAAATATTTTTTTAGCGTTTAAAAATGGATTCTATATAGAGTAAGTAACTATGCATGAATTTTCTATTCAATTTGAATTGTCTCGGTAATATAAGACCCACCATGTTGGTCACTTGTTCCCATCTAGCAATCTACTGCAATTTTTCCCCTGCACTAAGTGAGAGAAATAGTTTTAACCTGGGTATTCTGCAATATGAATGTTTTTATTTTTCACTTGTTTCTAAAATTCCCACATGGAAAATGAAAAAGCAAAAACATCTTCTTTGAACTGTGCTTTTTGTTTTGAGAAACAAAAGCAAGTTGATTTTATTTCAAAAAAAACAATGTTTAAGAATAAGGTTTTTTGTTTTAGTTTTGGGAACAAAAAATATATGCATAACCAATAAATGTTTTTCATGTTTCTGTTTTAAGAACCAGTTTATTTTCAAACCAGATATTTCAGTTTGATTTTGGAACTCACAATAAGGGGCATTCTACAACATAAATTGTTTTTCTTGTTGCTAGTTCCAAAAATAAATCAAAACCACCTTGTTCCTTAAATCAAAAACACAAGAAACATGTTTTTGATTGTGTATATGTTTTCTGTTTTCAAAACTGAAACAAAAAACATGTTCTTGAATTTGGTTTCAAAAACATGTTTTCATCTCATTACTCAACAATATGTTCCATAAATCATATAATTTTTATACTACTATAAACTGTGTTTTTTGTTTTAAAAACTAATATTTTGTTGGTTCTAAAAACACGTATTATTTTTCAAAACAAAATCAACTTGCCCATACTTTTGAAAACAAAAACAAGGTTCAAGAACATGTTTTTATTTATTTATTTTTTTATGTGGCAGTTCAAAAAACAAATGAAAACAAAAACATTCAAACGCCCCCCAAGTCTTCCAAACCTGTTATAACTGATTATTTAGTGCAAAAAGTGCGATAAATCAAGACCCACACTGATCGGTTTATATGTTATTTATGATTTGTGATTAGTAATGTAAACACTTATTATAATTTTTTTAGGTGCACTTGTCATGAATATGAATATATAACGCTATGTAAGAATAATTTATAAGGTTTTTTAACTGTAAAATGATTCCTAAGTTGACATCACTCTCTCCCTTGAACTGAACCAAATAAATTTTTAACTGCCAAGTTATCAAAGTTAGGGCTCTTAAGGGGTGAGGTGTACATAATAGACTGAACTGACGAAACCGATTATGTCAGTTCTAGTTCTATTGCTTTGTCATGATTAATAATTGGGTTGAGATTGGTTCTTGTTATATAGTTAAAAATATATAGCCTTCTTTTTTTGATAATTTTTGTTATATTTTATGTCCAAAGGGATATATTTTATAGATAATATATAAACAATTTTGGTTAAAGCACTTGTTTTGTCAACGTATAAACATTTTACTAATTTTCTATCATTTTTATAAAGGTTATATTGTGAAAAATAAAGTTTTAAATTATTATTTATGTAATTATAGATGTAAGTATTATTGGGTTAGACCCAATAGTCCCAATCTATCACATGGAACCGTTTAGGCTTCGTTTGGGAAGAGTGCAAATGCAAATATGTAGAGTACATTATGGTCCATACAAATGCAAAGTTGGTTTAGTTTTGCAATGATAAGTTTACTTTCTAGCCAAACAAGGTTTAGTTGTAAACTTGTAATGTTTAATGGATGCAAACACTAATCCCTAGGCAAAAATATGCCTTTTAACATTTGATTAACTTTGAGTGAAAATTTACATTGATTTTTTTTGATGTAAAATTCTCTCTCATTTGGAGTACAAACATGCATTAGAAACTGTGTTTTTTGTCATTGTCAATGCACAAATGTATTCTTTCCAAATTCTAATAAAACTGAACCAGAATGTATATATACACTGAACTGACATTTATACTCTGTCCAAACGGAACCTTAATAATTGATTTGGGACTGATACACCCTGTCGTAAACCAGATCCGACCCATAGGCGGCTCTAATCAAGGTCGGCTCACCATGGATCTTTTTAGCTCTTAATTAACCTATATTACCTTTGACAGTAGTGACTTTGTGTGACCTCTATGCATCACAATCTGTTTCACCAATTTACAACATTAGAAAAAAAAAAAAAAAAAGAAAAACAGAAAATGCCATTGATTTGTATTTTATTGCAATGGTTATGCTTTGGATTTTCGAGAGAATAGGTGATATTGAATCAATGTGCTACATTGGAATTTGAAAAGAAAAATGATCGCTTTCCTGAGATTTAAAATATTTTAATAATGAAGGCAAAACACTTTAAACAAAAAAAAAAAAAAAAAAAAAGATGAAAGGGAATGTTTGTTCTTACTCCTTACTTCTATCTAAAAGAAGTAGCTGTTTGGGAGGGCAGAAGCACAATAATTTTTGGCTGTTTGTGTGTATGGCCCATACGGATATCAACAGCTAAGTCGTGTTTAGTGAAAATTTCAGAGGCGAGAGCCAAATCGACTTGATCATCCAGTTGAACGGCTATAGGGAACAACGCCTTGCAAAGGTTATCAGTACTCTTCCCAAAACTGAGCCTTTCATTTTGGAAGAGTGCAAATACAATAGTGCCAGTGAGAATATTTGCATCAACATATTTGTATTTGCACTCTTCCCTTTTTCCAAATAGGAGGTATCGGATTAAATCCATGAAACTGCGGGTCTACAGTGAGCCTCATGTAGTGATGTGCGCCTTTGTTCTTCCGCACTAACTACTCAGCTTACTTTTCATTCTAGTAGGTGATAAAAAAAAAAAAGGTAAATTTCCGAAACCTCTTTTTAATTTGTTTGGCTGTTGTTGAAATTTTCTCTAAAGTTTAGTAATTATAATAATTTTCCTTGAACTTTTTCATACATTATTTCTTGACTTAATCAGATTTTTTTTCACATCAATCACTACCCCAAGCCCCTTCAATATGTTTTCCAAAATTGATTTATTTTTCCAAATTTTTCCTTCATATCAATGCTCAAAGATAAAATTAAATTAAATTTTTTTTATTTATAAAGTCTGTATTGTTTTTTCGTAGAAATCAACTTCGATAATAACTATATGAATATTTTGGACACTTTTATACTTCTTATTAGATGATTTTTAACAGAAGAAAGAGTCTACTTGCAATCATATGAGAAGTGATTCCAATTATGAAACACTAGGGAAGGTTTCAGCTAAGCTATGATCAGAAGGTTTCAGCAATTTACCCTAATAAAAAAGTGCATCAGATGTTGGGTAAACGTTAGAAAGACATTAACACGTATGTATTTAAAACTATATAATAAGATTATTAAATAATGTATTTTAGACTTTTTTGATTCCCGATTTCAAGATTCTAACTTTAAAAGGTGTGACTTCAAATACCGTAGCATTGAGCATCCTGGACCACTTGGATGGGCATCCAGCCCATTCCAAATCCCACAAAAATACCCAAGATAAATAAATAAATAAAAAGTAGAAGCAAAGGATCTTTATCCGATGTAGGGAAGATGCTTAGGAGGTGGGTATAGAAAACTTAGAAGATAC